GGAAGATCTGGCAATCGCTCGGACGTCCATTCCCTGTGCTTTTTTCGGTTTCGTGCATGGCTTCTTCGCCAAAGGATCAGGGATGCTCCTCGATGGTCCTCGCCGAAAGAAAAATGCACACGTCCGAGCGATGCCAAACAAAAGGAAGATGGCGAAGATGGCAGAATCGGGAAGAGGACGAGCGGGGGGAGGACGACGGAGGGGCGGGGTAACGGTGGGGGTGGGATGTGCAAGCAGAGGGGGGGGAGGGAAGGAGCCGCGGAGGGGCGGAACGGGGGGAAGGCGAGGGTGGAGTGTCATAGGCGGATGGGAAGGAGAGGGGAAAGACAAGGAAATCGGAAGGAAGGAGGAGAGCATTACGAGGACAGAGGAGAAACCATGGGAGAGAGACCAATCGCCCTGGTCCTCGCCCTCGCTTCGTCGTCCCTCCGCCCTCCCCGCCCCTCCTGATGTCAGCTTGTGATTAACACATGGTGACCCCCCCAGGGCTGATGAATAGATCCCGCGGCGCGCGAAACAATCCTTTCAATTACACGCGCCAGGGGGTCGTCGCGGGCGCCACCGAGGGGATCGTGTACCCCGCTGCACGGCAGCCTCAAAACGATTGCCGTTCGCACATAAGTTGTAATAGGAATCGTTTACATCCGAGGCTAGATTTTTCCCCCTCCCAGGCTGACTATTGACGCGCCACAGTCGTCGTCGTTGTCGTCGTGGTCGTCGTCGTGGTCGTCGTCGTGGTCCGCGGTCCCATATTGCGGCGCGCCTGCTGAGCACCCCCCCGCCCCCCATGGGGCATTCGCAGGGCGTCATCGTCGCCGTCGCCGTCGCGCTGTTGTCGTCGTCGTGCCGTCGTCGTCGTCGTCATCGTCGCCGCCGCCGCCGCCGTCGTCGTCGTCGTCATCGTCATCGTCGTCATCGTCATTGTCGTCGTCGACGACTACAGCGGGCCTACGGGCCTACGCAACACCCTCTCCCAAAGGGCATGCGGCATCCGCAGTGCGTCGTCGTCGTCATCGTCGCAGTCGTCATCGCATCGTCGTCGTCGTCCTCGTCGTCGTCGTCGTCGTCGTCGTCGTCGTTACCGTCGTCGTCGTCGTCGTCGTCGTGGTCGTGGTCGTAGTCGTGGTCCTCGTCGTCGTCGTCGTCGACGAGCACAGCGGGCAGGCGCAGCCCCCTCAGTGCGTCGTCGTCCGCCGCCGCCGCCGCCGCCGTCGTCGTAGGATCTTCCTGCGGAGGGGGGTGGCGGGCAGGGCGAAGGAGCAGCCCTTTCTTGAGCAGGGACCGACCGTCCCGGCATCCCTGTAGTCATACCACGACATCTTCGAGGAACCCCAAAAATGTTCTGAGAACAAACAGCAAATTTCTTAGAACATGAGCCCGATGTGTTAACACAAGCCAATATCAACCAGAAATGTTCTAAGGACATTTCGTGGGAACCACAGAAGGTTCTTAGAACATTGTTTGGTAGGGCCATGGGCGAGCCAGGACGCTTCGCCACTGCTTGAGTTTCCGCCTGCCTTCGTCGCTTCTCCCCTCCCCCTGCCCTGTTCTCGTGCGCCGCCACGCCGGCGCCGCCCGCCAGCTGCGGCGCCTCTCTCTCCCGCCTCCTCTCTCTCTCTCCTGTCTGCAGCCGCTCTGGCCCAACCGCCCCGCTGCAGCGCAGGCGCTGCTGCCCCCTCTCCGCTGAAGCGGCGCCGCTTGCGTCGCGCCGGTCGCCCTCCTGCTGTCGGCCGGGCGTCGGCGCTGATCACCAGCGCCGCCGCCGTGCGCTTCCATTTGGCGGGCGCCCCCCACGCGATTCGCCCGAGCAGGGGAACCATTTTTTCAATCACGCGCCCCGCCTGTTTGTGGTATCCACCAGCTGGTATTACATCCTCCTCCCTCCTCTCCCCCTCCCATATCCGTAGCTATTTTGGCTCAAGCCGCCGTCCTGGGCTCGAGGGTTCTCCTCACTGCCAGGTAGCCGCGCCGCTTATTTTGTGATAACTGCCAAACGTGCTCACTGGCCGCAGCTTCTGGCTGCTGCCCGACCAACGCAGGCCGTGCAGTGCGATGCCTGCCGCCGACGGCCCCAAATAGGAAGTGCCGTACTTCCACAAGCGTCAGTCACGATGCTGCTGGGCGTAAACGCGGGCGGGGCTGCTGCCCTCCTACGACCAGTGCCACACCACCACCACCACCACCACCACCACCACCACCACCACCACGCTGTACAACACGATGCCGGGCGTAAACGCGGGGCTGCCGATAATTTACGACTTCAGCTCCCGTGCAGGAGTGCGATGTTTCGAGGACTACGCGGACTACCCCCGATGATATTCCACCATCCGGTTGGATTGCTCGAACGTGACCGCGGGGCCACCGATAGTCTACGACCCCATCTGCCCGCACGAAAGGGCTGCTCGAGGACTGCCTCTGTCGGTGCTTAACCATCACGCTGGACCTGTCGAACGTGACCGCGGGGTTGCCGACAGTCTGTGACCCCAGCTGCCCCACAAGAGGTGGCTACTCGAGGCCGGCCTCTGGCCTCTGCCAGGACTACCCATCACGCAGGACTGCTCGAAGATGCAAGGCAGCAACACGGGGCTGCCAGTCTATTACGGACAACATTCCACCGCTCTGGACTGCTCTCAGGTGCCAGGAGGCGGTGCGGAGCTGCCGATTGCCTCTGACCCTAGCTGCTGGCCAAGTGTGGGCTGCTTCGTGGCTCGTGGACCAACCATGCCAATCTTCCACTGTCGAGCTTGACTGCTCGAAGACGCCGGGCAGCACCATGAGGGTACCGAGCTACTGCAGCTGGAATTCCACCCCCACGCCGGAGCGCTCCAAACTATGGGGCATCAGCGCGGGGCTGCCGATCGCATACGACCCCAGCTGCCCCGCAGGAGTTGGCTGTTTCGAGGAAAACCCCTGCCAATTATCAATCGCCGAGCAGGGCTGCTCGAAAGTGCAGCCCATCAGCAACGTGCTGCGGATATGGCCCCCCTGGGGGATTCTGTCTTGCCCACAGCAGTGCTTCCGCTTGGGTGTTCTTACCTGCATCCCGAAAGAACTGGTTGGATCCAGCGAGGGTTTTTCCCACGTGAGGAGGAGGAGGAGGAGAAGGAGGCGGAGGAGGAGGAGGAGGAGGAGCAGGAGGAGGGCGAGGAGGAGGGGGAGGAGGAGGGGCGTTGGGTAGATATGGTGAGGTCTCACCGCGCTGCGGCCCGCCGCCGCCTCGCTGCGGCCTCGAGCGCCGGGTGGATCGAGCGAGGCCTCGCCACGCCGCCGCCCGCGGCCGCCGCGCTTAGCCGCCCCGCGCGCTGGGGTGGGTCGGGTGCCGGCCTCGCCACGCTGCGGCCCGGGGGCCGCCCCGTTGCCGCCTCGTGCGCAGATGGGTGCGGCGAGGTGTCGCCCCGTCGCCGCCCTCTGCGGCTTCGCTGCCGCCTCGTGCGCCCGGGCGGGTCCGGCCAGGTTTCGCCGCGTTGCGGCCCGCTGCCGCCTCGCTGTCGCCTCGTGCTCGCACCACGCATGCTGCACCACACAGCTTGCACCACATAGCTTGTTACAGCATGGCTCACACATCCGGTGCAATATCTTTCTGTGTTGGGTCCACGCTGGTTATCATTTGCCATTTTGGTTTGCCGCGCTTCACATGGTAAACATGAGAACTGCATCACCTGGTTTTGCGTCATTCCAGGTCATGCCCTGATGAGTGGATATGCATGTGACGCTGTTGAACCGCATGCTTCATGCCATGCCTACTCCCAGGACTTGCGCTCTCTCCATGCGTCGTCCAAAACCTGTCTACTCCTTGTCTTGTCCTACGCACACGGCTCGGCCTGGGAATTCGATTTTTGAGCGTCTAGGGGAATTCGTGAGTGTTTCGTTGTAGTTTTGTTAGCTCTTCCACTCGTCTTGCTGTCTTATGCTCTCAGCATTGTTCATTTCATATCTCTCTATATATATATATATATATCAATATAATATTTACATATGAGCGTGACGTTTGGACCATCAATGGGAGCGCAGACGACAACTGTCTCTGTATTGAACTGGACTTGGTCCGTCACAGGTCTGCCGATGCCCTCACTCTGACTGTACAGCCTGGCTGTCTGCTAGTTCTCTTACAGGCTGACGGGAAGCCTTTACCAGATCAAGATCCCCTTCCCCCTCCTTCTTTCTCCTGCTCAAGTATCCCCTCCCACATCCCTTCCTCCCGCTGCGCTGCACCCACCCTCCTCCTCCCCCCGCGACGATCAAGCCGACGACGGCGGCGGCGCTGGCAGCGGCGACGCCGACGACGAACGAACGGACAGCCGACGACAATGGCGACAACAAGGGCGGCGGCGCCCACGACAACAACGACGACTCTGACGGCGACGACCGACTGAACGAACGAGCGACCCGCGGCGACGAAGATGGCGACTGCGAGTGGTAGCAGCGGTGTGCCAGAAGGAAGGGGAGGAGGAGGAAGAGGAGGAGGAGAAGAGGAGGGAGAGGAGGTGGAGGAGGAGAAGGAGGAGGAGGAAGAAGAGGAGGAAGAGGACGAGGAGGAGTAGGAGGAGAAGCAGGAGGAGGGGGGGGAGAGGAGGAGAAGGAGGAGCAGGAGTAGGAGGAGGAGTAGGAGCAGGAGGAGGAGGAGGAGCAGGAGGAGAAGGAGGAGGGAGAGGAGGAGGAGAAGGAGGAGGGGGAGGAGGAGGAGGAGGAGGAGGAGGAGGAGGAGGAGGAGGAGGAGGAGGAGGAGGAAGAGGAGGACGAGGAAGGGGGGGAGGAGAAGGAGGAGGAGGTGGAGCCGTAGCGGCGGCGGCCAGGGCGGTGGCCGCGGCGAGCCGCGGCGGCGACTTGCGCGCAGCGGCGGCGGCAGGCCACGGCGGCGGCGAGGGCGCGGGCGCTCCGGGCCAGCCGAAGCCCGCGGCCTGCCAGCAGCCGCCCGCCACGGGGCCGCCCCAGCCGTCGCGGGCCGGGCCGGTGCTGGGGGGCCAGCAGCCGCCCGGTGGGGCGCCGTCGTGGTACCTCGCCGAGGTCCGCCGCCGCCGCCGACCTCCGCTCGCCGCCGCCGCTGCTGTCCGCTGCTCGCTCGTGCATCGCCGACGTCGCCGCCGCCAGGACGTGCCTCTGCCTCTGCCGCGGCCACCGTCGCCGGCGTCGGCGTTTTCGTCGTCGCCGCCACCCGGAAGTGCCGCCGCCGTGGAGCATCACCACGAGGGCCCTCGAGGCTCGAAGGTCGGGGTCCGCGGGCCTCGATCCACGAACCTCGCGAGGCTCTGGTTGGGCCTCTGCGGGGGGGGGGGGGGCTTTGGATGCTTCAGGGGCCCACCCGGGGGCCTCCGGAGACCTCCACGGACTTCTGCGAACCTTTGAAGGTGGAGTTCGTCGTCGTCGCCGCGCCGTCGCCGCCGCGCTGTCGCCGCCGAGCCGTATGCTGTCGCCATTGTCGTCGTCGTCGTCGTCGTCGTCGTCGTCGTCGTCGTGGTCGTGCTGTGGTCCTATGTCCCAGGGGAGGACGAGGAGGCGGAGGAGCCCGAAGACGAGGAACTGGATTGACAATGGCCACGGGAGGAAAAATAATTAGAGCTGACCATGGCACACGTGCCAATCAGCATCGACGCCGTTTTATCGACATGCGAGCATAATTTCATAGACTTGCGTGACATTGTGAATGGACTGGGTGGGCAGAGTGAAAATTGAAACTTATCCCATCGCTCACTTCAGTCGCGGCCTCTGGTATGAAGAACGCAAGGGAATACGAACTGATCAAACTTTCTGATTTGGAATGTGGGCGGGTTTCATACAATATCGCAGCAGTAGCTAGACCCTAGGTTGCTTCTGCGAAATCAACTCCATTCGATCTTATTCACGAACGACTTCTTCTCCGCTCCACTCCGCTCCGTTCAAATATACTCCCACTTTACTCTACCGAGCTTCATGCTTCCCCGTAGTACTTCACCCAATCGCCATACCAACCTTCTCTTTTGTCAGAGTATCCCTGTGAATACCCATACTCATCTATTGGGATGCCTCTAATATGATGATGTTCCAACCTACTTTAGCCTTGACCACCAGGAAGAATTTCGAGCGCCCCAAAAAATACCGAAACTCGAGAATTTTCACGTGTCGGACCCTGGGAGACACTCGCCCGACACTGTTTCGACACTGCTTCGACACTCTTTTGACACTTTTCCGGGTGCTCGAAATTATTCCTGGGATGCGGTCCTTGACTAGGATGGGAACAACATAACTCTGATAATCAATTTGACTGCGCACGGGCATCCATTGGAATGCCCCTCGCGAAATATTGGCATACCACAAGGATCCATCGGAACCCCTACGAGCGGCAAAAGCAAAGTCATGATTGGGGGTGGCTCCTCCTGGCGCGCGGGGCGCGGAGGGGGCGGCCTCAGCGGCGCCGCCAGGGGGGATGCAGTGCCGGTGCGCGAAATCCGTGCAGAACTCCGAAACTTTGTGCTTATGTAATTCTTCGATGGCCGAAAATTGGCCTCGGCAGGGCTGGCGACGGTGAAAAAGGGGGGGGGCCTTGAAGTGCGCAAAATGTCGGACGGTCCGCCCAGGAGCTAGGCAAATATAAACGCCCAAGCCTCCCCACCCGCGGGATGCTGGAGCACCTGCGCTCCGGACTCCTTCGCTGCATTCGCTGGCTCCTTGGCCGATCAAGCTGGGGGTTCTGCGCACAAGCCCCTAGAAGGTCAAGAGAAGATAGTAGCAGTGTGCTTAGTAGTAGTAGTAGTAGTAGTAGTAGTAGTAGTAGTAGTAGTAGTAGTAGTAGTAGTAGTAGTAGTAGTAGTAGTAGTAGTAGTAGTAGTAGTAGTAGTAGTAGTAGTATAGTAGTAGTAGTAGTAGTAGTAGTAGTAGTAGTAGTAGTAGTAGTAGTAGTAGTAGTAGTAGTAGTAGTAGTAGTAGTCAGTAGTAGTAGTAGTAGTAGTAGTAGTAGTAGTAGTAGTAGTAGTAGAGTAGTAGTAGTAGTAGTAGTAGTAGTAGTAGTAGTATTACGTAGTAGTAGTAGTAGTAGTAGTAGTAGTAGTAGTAGTTAGTAGTGTAGTAGTAGTAGTAGTAGTAGTAGTAGTAGTAGTAGTAGTAGTAGTAGTAGTAGTAGTACTCGTAGTACTCGTAGTAGTAGTAGTAGTAGTAGTAGTAGTAGTAGTAGTAGTAGTAGTAGTAGTAGTAGTAGTAGTAGTGGTAGTAGTAGTAGTAGTAGTAGTAGTAGTAGTAGTAGTAGACAAGGGAGGGACGGAGGCAAATCCAACCAAAATCAGTCGAACATGACGGCTTTTTCGATCCTCGTCTGGCCGTGGCCTCCTGCTTGATGGCCAGAGCCTGTGCTGGGCAACCTCGGCCCACCCAGCCGGCTCCAAGACCAAACGATGTGGTGTACAGCAGGGTCTCGAGGAAACCAGCCTCTTTCACATATCCATAACCGCCGCCCACGGGTGGATCTTCGGGAGACTTGGCAGGCAATGAACATGGATGCCCATGAGGGCGCGGATATCTCCGTATCCAATGCCTGCGGATGTCCCCGAGGATCGATTCCCCAGGCGGTGGTTATGGACATACCCCCGCCTCGGACTCCTCTACAGTAGAGACCCGACCACAAGAAATCTTCCACACGAAACCCATCCCTGAGACCCCAAGACGTCTATGGATAATTTGGTGTGGGAGCGTCACGGAAACCCAAGAGACTCAGGGCACCCTGGAGGCGAGCAGGGTGTTTCTTGGCATGGGTCTCCACTGTATATATCGAGCCCCTCCGAAAAACGTATCCTCAAACCATCACGGAGGGCTTATATTAGGCCTGAGCTCGGAGAGAGCGTGATCCACCGCCGCTTTACTGTGGAAAATTGCCAACCTTTTCCTCCGGAACCCGGGGTCGCCCGCCCCCCCCCCCCCTGCGAAAATCCCCCCCCCCCCTGCTGGAACCCCTCCCCCCCCCCCTCCCCCGGCAAAACCCCCCCCCTCCCCAAACCCCCCCCCCCCCCCCTCCCGCTCGAAAACCGGGGGGGGTCACTACCGGTTCGAACCCCTCCCCCCCCCCCCCACCCTCCCCGGAAAACCGGGGGGGTCACTACCGTTCGCACCCCCCCCCCCCCCCCCCCCCCCTACTCACCGCCAGCAAACGACTCCCGGTCCCCACCACCGTCCGCATCACATCCCCCACTGGTGTTCCCAGCACCACTGTCCTCACCACCGCTGTCCCCACTGGTTCCACCACCGCCCCTACTGTCCCCACCAGTGGCCCCACCACTGTCGCACTGTCCCCGCTGTCCCCAGAACTGTTCCCACCACGGTTCCACTCTCCCCACTGTCTCCACGGCCCCAACCACTGCCCGACTATCCCCACTGTCCCCACTGTCCCACTGACTCCTCCGCTGTCCCACTGAGCTGTCCCACTGTTCCCACCACTGTCCCCACTGTCCCCACCACTGTCCCCACTGTACCTCTGTCCCATTGTCCCACCGCCGTCCTCGCCACCGCCTTCACCACTGTCCCCACCACCATTGTACCCTCCACTGTCCCACTGTTTCCACCTCATTCCCATTGTCCCCACACCACTGTCCCCACCACCACCGTCACCACCACTGTCCACTGTCCCCCCCTGTTCCCACCATTGTCCCCACCACTGTCCCCACCACTACCGTCCCCACCACTGTCCCACTGTCCCACTGTCCCCACCACTGTCCCGCTATCCCCTCACCACTGTCCCCACCAACACCGCCCCCACCACTGTCCGCACCCCCACTCGGTTTTCGAGGGGGGGGGGTTCGAACCGTAGTGACCCCACCCGGTTTTCCGGATCCGGAGGGGGGGGGGAAGGGGTTCGAACCGGTAGTGACCCCCCCCCCTTTTCATGATGAGCAGGGGGGGGGGGGGGGAGGGGTTCGAACCGGTAGTGACCCCCCCCGGTTTTCCGCCAGCAGCGGTAGAACACGCTCTTTCCGAGCAGTGGCTCGTCTCCCTCCGTGCGGTTGCGCCGGAATTGGCGCCCAGGCGAACCGCGGGCCCCCGCGCCCTCGCCCACCTCGAGGAAGGCGCTGCGCACTCTGATGTCGGCGTTGGGCGTCCGTCTTGGGCTCCTGCTGGTAGGCGTCTCAGCGGGGAAGGCCGGTGTGAAGACGGCCCTCGCGAGCAGGAGGATTTGTCCGCAGACCGCCGTCCAGGAGGGCGGAACGCCGTACCACACTGGGCTGAGAAGGCAGGTGGCCCATAGCGTGGCCGCGACGCACACGGGTCTCGCGAGGTGGACCCGTTCGGCCAGCGCAGCGGCGCATGAACTCCCGAGCACACGCTGCATTGGAAGGCCGCGCAGAGCGGCACCAAGGGTCAAGATGCGCAGCGGTGCTGGCGAAAAACCAGCCGTCATGAGCACGATGCACGGAAAGGCTGGAATGGGAAGCAGGGGGCCGAAGACTAAGTGCAGCGTCTGCGCGATCATGACGTGGGCCAGGACTCTCGCCGCGACGGCCAGCATGGAAAGCAGCGAGTCCGGCAGCGAGCTGACGAGTTGCTGGAGCGGGTCTTCTGGAGACGGCGCGCGTGGGCTCGACGACGTGCAAGATGTCGAAGACGCCGCCGCTGCGCAGCTGCGGGCGTGGTGGGGGTAGTACAGCTCGGCCGCCTCAACGAAGCGGGTCGGCGGGTGGGGATGGAGAGCCCGCCCGCCTATGGTGATGTTGGCCGCCTTCCATGCCCATCCTTCAGCTGCGCCGCAACGAGACGTGAAAGTGAGCGCCGCTAGATTTTCGAAGCACGTCCAGCCGCGGCGACAAGGAGGGGGGGAAACTATAGGGTGCCCTCGGCCTTGGGTTGCGCTGTTCGTCCGTGTTGAGCTCGCTGGAGTCGTGCCCCCGGCCGCCGAAAGTATCAGGGCTGAGGAGTCCATGGCGCTAGAGTCCACGACGATGGACTCCATGAAGGCGCCAGTCACGCCATCCAGGTCTCAGGACGCCGCGGGAGTCGTCGTAGTCGGCACGATGGCAGACGCGTGTCCCAACGGAGTGCGCGACGAAACCGATCGCGTCGTGGCTCTGGGCGGCGCACGGCACTACGACGGCCAGGTCCACCATGGGCGTGCCGAATGCGACGATCCCGATGTCGCAGGCGACGAAAATCCCCACGCGGGAGCTGTAGACGAGGAGAGCGTCGGCCTCGAGGACGCCGGCCAACTTGACGGTATGGTCCTGAAGGGAACCTGGAGAGGACGCCAGACGCCAAGCCTGAGGGGGCACAACAAGACAGTCGGGGCGGGTGGTTGTGGGGGGGGCCGGAGAGGAGGGGCAGGGGGAGGAGGAGGGAGACGAGGAGGAGGAAGAGGAAAGCAAGCAAGACGAGGAGGAGTCGGCAAACGAGGTAGAGGACCAACGCAGACAAGTGCAGGCCCGCAGACAGGTGGGGCGGGTGCTCTGGGGAGAGGGGGGGCCCAATAAGACTCCGCGCCGGCGGCCCCCCAAGAAAGCCCAGACGGAGGGGCCACCCATTTCCCCCCAAGACTCCACGCGCGCGTCCGACATTGGCCGAGTAGCAGCCCCAGCGCAGCTCCAGCGCCGTCCAGCGCGGGCGAGGGGCGTGCAGGCGCCAGGAACGCTAGCCACGGCGATGCCGTCGTGCAGCGCGATGTCCCATAGATCTGGGAGGGCCTGCTGTCGGCGCAGGTCTCGACGCAGAAGGTGACCGCCGCGTCGAGTCTCGCGGAGGCGTGCGGCAGGGCGAGGTCGGGCAAGGCGCTCGCAGAGTCCTGCAGAGGTCCTGCAGAGAGCGCAGGGCCTAAGAGGGCGCGGCGAATATTACAGGGCGGGGAGGGGCAAGCGGAGGCGGGGGAGGAGGAGGAGCGAGGGAGCGGAAGGGAGCAGAAGCAGGGAAGGGAGGACACTAGGGTACTGGGGGGAACTTCCAGCGGACCACCCCTGGAGCACAACCACCAGTCGGAACACCCAGGGGGGGTGGGAAAACGAATGGCGGGATTCATGTGCCGCAAGTGGGTGCCAATGTCAAGTGCGCCTGTTTTCTCATCCCCAAGAAATCTCGCGTACGGACACCCCGGAAAGCTCTCGCGAGGTGCAGCGAAGTCGACCCGAGTGTCGGAAGGCATGTCACGAGGATGGGCTGGCATCTCCAAAAATGGGGTCCGAGACTTGCCACTTGGACCCTGAGTCCCTGAAAACATCCAGGACGAGCCAGCGTCCAGGCGGCGGCGGGGCGAGAGGTGCTCGACGCAGTCGTAGTCGGCGCCGTGGTACTGTTCGATGCGGGAGTTCTGGACGGGAGCGTCATGCTCGACCTCGTCGTGGCGTGCATTTGCTGACAACGTGGTGCTGCTCATTGCAGTGCTGCTGGTCAGCCGCGAGGTGCTCGACACATTCATGAACGACATCGTGGGGCTGCTTGATTCCGTAGTGTTGCGATGCCACGCCATGCTTAGCTCCGCCGTGGTGAACGACGTGCTGCTTGGAGGCCAGGTGGTTGTGGACAGCGTGGTGTAACGGCCTTCGCTGGCTGTGATGCTCGCTTCCGTAGTGCTGGGCGGCGAGGTGATGGCCGACTCAGCCGCGGTGGACGACGTCGTGCAGCTGGAGTCAGTACGACTGTTGAGCGGCGTGGTGCTTGGTCCCGTCGAGTGCGACAACTTGGTGTTGCTTCCCCCAGTATGGCAAGCGGTGCTTCCCCAGGTGCGGCAGGACTGCGTGAGACCGGAGTGCAGGAGTTGTAGTAGTAGAAACAATAATGGTATTATTATTCGAAGTAGTAGACGTAGTTCGTATTAGTATTCGAATTGGTGCTCGTACCAGCAATTGTTCGAGTATCAGAAATACTACTAGCATGCCAATGGATTATCGTACCAGTACTATTATGATTCGTATCAGTCTTATCACTAGCATTGCCATTCCTGCCCGTAGTTGTCTGATTATTGATGGCAGTGCTTTCTCATTGCTGTCAAACACAATACCAGCCCTAGTACAAGTACTCGTACTCGTATCGTCAGTTGGATCAGCACCAGTACCCATATCAGAACGAGCCTTTGTCTTCATACTATGACCGGCATTCGTACTAAAAGCATCGCTCTTGTTTGTAGTATGACGTGTTCCCTATGCTTGTATAAACGCTAAGCAGTTTGCCCGCAAGGGTTCGTTTCAAATGTCCTAAGGGCCAGGATGGGGACAGACGGGCCCCTGTGGAAAGCTGTTGACTGTCCTCGGTCGCAAAGGTGGCATCATGGGATTTTCATCGCGTTACGTTGACTTGCCTCGCTCTATTTTGCACGATCCCCGCAAGTCGATTGGAGAGGAGTCCCCAAGCCCTTACGATATTGACAGGAGTGATCCCCGGCCAACCTGGCTTCTTGGGAGCACCAGGCACCCCTTCTGGGCCATCCTCGAGGATCGAGGTTCGAGGCCCTCCTCGAGCACTGCGGCTCGCGGCTGTTAGATGCTTTGGGGCTCCTCTCCCCGCGGCTCCAAAGGCTTTCAGGGGCCTCTGGGAACACCCGCGGAGACCTCGACCTCCGCTGTTTCTCCGGGATTCCGGGGGTCATCTTGGGGGCTCCTGGCCCTCTGCCTGGAGCCTCGGGGCCGCCGAGGCCCCTTCCTGGCAGCCTGTGGGACACAGGATCACTTCTGTCCGCTCTGAGATCCCGTGCCGCGAAGAAAACACAACGACGTGAAGCATCACGGCAGTCTCCTGGCCCCACCTCTGTGCCTCTTGTCTCGAGCTAGGTCGATCCGCAAGGACCCGGGGGCACTGAAAACGTTGCAAAACTGCCCGTTGTGTTGGATTGTCTGGGCTACAATGCCCGTCGCGATAAAACGTTTGTGCGACAACATAAAAAGACACGCTTGAAAACTGCCTGTCGATCGCTTTCTTCGCGACCCCGCGGGATCTGAGGGAAGAGCCGGGCCTGCTCGAGTCCAGATCGTGCTGCCGGCCCTGGGAATGCCCCGGGTGGCGCAGGTGGCTCCTGTGGGGGAACCGGAGCTCGCCATCGATCGAACGTCCATTCCCCGTGCACTCTCTGGCTTGGTGCACTTATTGTATCGCAACGCAAGATGATCCAAGCGCACACGTCCGAGCCAAGGCAGGGGAAAGCCCTCACACTCCTCGCTGCACCGCCCGAATACATCCCACCGCCTGGGAGTCGCGCCTGGGATCTCGAGGACGCCCCTCGGAGTGGTGGTCTGCCCGCCCTGGAGGGCGGGAGCGTACCCATATCCACTGCTCCCAAAGGATCCAGAACAGGACTCCCGCAGCGCACTGGATCTCCCTGCGCCGGCCGCCCGGATCGGGCCAGAGTGGATGGAGCCCGCGGACCGCTGAAGCTTCAGAAACCTGCCGTGGGGTCAGCCTTCTGGACCAGCTTCTGGTGGTCCCGGGGGCCCGAGAACGGCACCTTGAAGACGCCGCCGTTGGAGGAATCGTCCTCATCTGCCAGTGCTCAGGCCGCCCCGATATGGACCGAGTCGGTGGGGCTGGGGATCGCACCGCACCGCCAATGCCGTCGGCATGGAAAAGATCAGGCTCCAGATCGCGCCGCATCGCCGATGCATCGGCGATTCGACGCGATCCTCCGAACCCGCCAACTCGGGCCCTATCTGGGTAGCCCCTGGGCACTGGAGAGGCCCCATCTGGGCAGCCCCTGGGCACTGCAGACTGTTTTTTGTGGCGCGTTTCCACAATTTCTGCCTCCGTGGGCTGCTGGCGGGACCCTGGACCCTCAGCGGATGCCGGGCGAAAGACTGCGCAGAGGACGAGATCTCCAGGCCAGGGTCCGCGGATTGAAATGGCCGGCCAGGGGCCAATCCTGGCAAGTGTTCCGAGTCGCATTGGGCCGTGGCTTCAAGAAGGCCTCTCCTGTGAGGCGGGAGTTCATACACTTCCACTACCCCCAGGTCCGAAAGGAGGCGTTCACGCCCCACCCACCCCTCGACGCTTTTTGGTTCCCTGGGCTCAGAGGCAGCGGCTGCTGCGGCTCGCACGCGGCACTCCGCGCGTCGAAGGCGTACCTGGAGGTCTCGGCAAGTCGTGACGCGACGACGACGACGACGACGACGACGACGACGACGACGACGACGACGACGACGACGACAACAGCGACAGCGACGGCAGCGACAGCGAGGACGCCGATGGCGACGTTTTTTTTCTATACGTCTAGACTAGACGAGACCGGCCGAGAATCAGGGAGACCTAGCCAACGCATGAAGCAGGGGCGCGAGGCGGGCACGGGCGGGCGGGCACCAGGCGAGAACCCGCACGGCCAAACCAATTCTTCGCTCGTTCAAACAAGCACCACTGAGGTCGGGAGAGGACAGGGCCCCCTTTGGCAAAGCACACTTCTGTGAGAACGGCCTGGGGAGCAAAGCCCGCAGACGCAGGCCGTCAAAAACGGCGGCTGCATCACCCTATCGAGACTCAAATGAGAAGCCCCACGGGCGGATTTGCTAGTCGACGATGCACGGAGGAGGTCCTGTCGATCCCCGAGCACCCCCTTGCATGCCCCGTTGCAAGGCAATGCTGGGTCCCGCGCGCCCCCTGCGCGCCCCGTTGCAAGGCCTAGCTCAGCCCCGCGCGCTCCAGCGCAAGGCCCAATTGCAAGGCATTGCTCAGCCCCGTGCGCGCCTTCGCATACCCACTGATTTGCTCAGCCCCGTGCGCTTCCGTCCCAATATCAATCACAAGGCCCTGCTGAGCCCCGCGTGTTCCTGGCATGCCCCATTCCACGGCCTAGCTCAGCCTGGGGTGGCCGGGTGGGGGGAACAAGACCTATTATCGAGGGCACGTGACGTAGCGCGTGGGCACCCCGGCCTGCGCGCTCTGCACCGGGACCTGCAGGCTCCGGATGTGCTGCCAGAACTCCCGCGGCAGCTTCCCAGCGTCCTTCATCTGCACCTCTCGCTCGTGTGCGTGTGGGGGGGCAATTATTCGCCTGGAGTCGGGCACCTTCCCCAGACCCACGACCGTTCATCTGCGACTGGTTCTGGGTGACCCAACAAGGGCTCCAGCTGAAAGGGGTGTGGTGCAATACATTTGGGGCAATTGTATTGCAGATGTGTTGCGCCGGAGATTTGTATTGCATTATCACGCAACGAATGTAAGTGTTGCGTCCGGGGACGGCCCGAGGACACCCACAAAGGCCCAGGGCCTCAGATTCAGATCCAGCCCAGCGGCGCCTGCGCCTCCGCGGTGCTCATCAGGCGCACGGTGCCGTCGACATAATTGAGCACCTCTTGCTCGGCGGTGCGCAGGCAGGGATGGGAGGGGGGGCTTCTAGGGGGCCGCCTTCTGAGACGGCAGAAAGAAGTCTCAAGACGCGTCCCAGGGTGCTCTGAAGAGGCTCCCTGGAAGCATTCGAATGCCTCCAAGCGGCCTTCTAGGAAGCCTTCTAAAAGTGGTCCTCCCCCCTCGCACCTCCCCTCTGCGCGCCGCAGACACAAGGCAAAGGGGGAAGAGCCGTGGCGACGACGGCCAGGGAATGCCCAGCGCAAGTCGATACCACATGTTCCCCAATGACGGCACGCCTCAGGCGTCTTGGAAGGGTCCGGAGGGCTTCTCCGAAGCGCCCCGTGTCCTTCCTGGGGACCCGCCCACCGCGCGCCATCTCCGACCCAAAGTCGCCGAAGTCCAGCCCACGGGCCACTCCTACGGCCCAGCCTGGCCAGTTTCCCGAGCCGCGCCCTGCTGCGGCGACGAGAACACTCAGAAAGGTCTGCACAACTCACAAACGACGACTTCGACGATGACGACGACGGTGTCGTCGACGTCATCGTCCCACCCTCTCGCGCCCCTCAACAAGCGTCCGATGTAAGATGTAGTCCCACCAGCCCTTTGGGCGACATGTGGTCTGAGGAGGGTCTCTTTCCTCTTCCACGACCTTTCTTCCCTTCGGGGAGGGGAGCCCTCCCCCTCCACTCCCTGAGGTTTTCTGGGAGGGATCGCGAGATGTCGGAGGCTCCTTTTTCGGCCATTGGGAGGGCCACTTTTTGCCACCACTCACGAGGATCTGAGGATCGTGGCCTCCGAGGGGGGGACCTCAATCGAGAACCCCGCCTCTTTTGACCGACCGCCTCCGAGATGGCCCCAAGAGGCCCTCCAGGGCTCCCCAGAGGCCCCCAAGAGGGTTACAAGAGGCCCCCGAGAGGCCTCCAAGAGGCACCCGAATGGCCCCCAAGCGGCCTCAGAGAGCCCAAGATGACCTCCAAGATTGCTCAAGCTAGTCCAATCTGGCTCAAAACTGTCCCAAGATGCCCCAAGCGGCCCCTAAGACCGCTCCAAGACGGCTCGAGGTGGCCACGGAGCCTCCCCAGGATGCCGCCGAGATGCCCAAATCCAGAGGCGCAGCAGCGGGAGGCGGGAGGCAGGAAGAGGGAGGAGGGAAGAGGAGCCAGGCGGGAAGCGGAAAGAGGGAGGCGGGAGAAGGAACGAGAAAGGTTGTGATTGGAGCCCCTGTGCTAAGAAACGTCTCAGGCAGAACGGGCCAGACCATCTCGCGCGCGACATCTTCGAGCTTCGCATTCTGAGGATGACTCAAGCGAAACGGGCCGGACCACCTTGCGAGTGACATGTTGGAGCTCAGTAATGGAAGGATGTCTCAAACGAAACGGGCCGGACAACCTCTCGTACACGTTCTGACAAGTCCACGTCACACTCGCTTCCCGTCAGGTCCTCTCTTGCAACTCCCTTCCTTCTCCCTCCTCCTCCTCCTCCTCCTCCTCCTCCTCCTCCTCCTCTTCCTCCTCCCCCTTCTCCTGCCTGCTCCCTCATCCACATCCTCCTCCTCCTCCTCCTTCTCCCTTCCATCTCCTCCTCCTCGTCCTCCTCCTCCTCCTCCTCCTCCTCCTCCTCCACCTCCTCTTCATCCCGAACGGCATCTCGGAGCCTAGAGTTGCGAGGATGTCTCCAGCGTAACGGGCTGGACCACCTCGCGCGCGGCATCTCGGACCCCAGAGTTGCGACGATGTCTCTGGCGAAACGTGCTGCGAGGAATTCTCAGGCGAAACGGGCCGGACCACCTCGAGCGCGGCGTCTCAGAGCTCCGAATTGCGGGGGCCTCCTGGGGCCTCCCGGGGCCTCCTGGGGACCTCCTGGGGCTTCCTCCTGGGCCTCCTGTGGCCTCCTGGACCCCACCTGGGGCTTCCTGAAGCCTCTTGGGGCTCCCAGGGGGGGATATCTAACATGTGGCCGTCTGGGCCCCCCAAAATGGGGAGGGGCACAAGAGCAGGAAAAATCAACGAATCGACACCAGATGCGTATTCACTTGACACGTTCTGAGAAGGGGGCCTCCTGGAGCCTCCTGGGAGCCTCCCGGGAATCTCCTGGGGACCCCTGGGGCCTGTCCTGGGCGTCCTGCGGCCTCCTGAAGCTCTCTGGGGCCTCCTGGGGCTCCCAGGGTCCCAGGGGGGATATGTAACATGTGGTCTTCTGGGCCCCCAGGCTGGACCACCTCTTGCGCGGCATCTGGGAGCTCAGAATGGCGAGAATGTCTTGTGCGAAACGGGCCGGACCACCTCTCGCGCGGCATCTCAGAGCTCAGAGTTTCGAGGGTGTCTCAGGCGAAACGGGCTGGACCACCTCGCGCGCGGCATCTCAGAGCTCAGAGTTTCGAGGATGCCTCAGGCGAAACGGGCTGGACCACCTCGCGCGCGGCATCTCAGAGCTCAGAGTTTCGAGGATGTCTCAGGCGAAACAGGCGGGACCACCTCTCGCGCGGCACCTCAGAGCCCAGAGTTTCGAGGATGTCTCAGGCGAAACGGGCCGGACCACCTCTCGCGCGGCATCTCAGAGCTCAGAGTTTCGAGGATGCCTCAGGCGAAACGGGCGGGACCACCTCGCGCACGGCATCTCAGAGCTCAGAGTTTCGAGGATGTCTCAAGCGAAACGGGCCAGACCACCTCTCTCGCGGCATCTCAGAGCCCAGAGTTTCGAGGATGTCTCCAGCGAAACGGGCCGGACCACCTCTCGCGCGGCATCTCAGAGCCCAGAGTTTCGAGGATGTCTCAAGCGAAACAGGCCGGGCCACCTCTCGTGCGGCATCTCAGAGCCTAGAGTTTCGAGCGTGTCTCAGGCGAAACGGGCCGGACCACCTCTCGCGCGGCGTCCAGGAGCGCAACTTTTCGAGGATGTCTCAGGCGAAACAGCCAATCCCGGCCAACTCAGAAACGAGAGTTGTGAGGATGTCTCAAGCGAAACGGCCCGGACCATCACATTGATCAGATTGTTGTGAGGATGTCTCTGCTCCTCTTTCCCTTGGCCGGAGTTAGCTTCTATCACAACAGCACCCCGTTCAGCAAGCTGTTTGGGTAAAAAATACAGAAGATCAAAACATCCCACCAGTCCTTTGGGCGACAGGTGGTCTAATGAGGGTCTCTCTCCTCTTCCATCGCCCCCTCTTCCCTTCGGGAGGGGAACCTTCCCCCTCCCCTCCCTTAGGTTTTCTGGGAGGGGCCGCGAGGTGTCAGAGGGTCCTTCTTCGGCCCCTGAGAGGTTTTGACCGACCGCCTCCGAGATGGCCCCAAGAGGCCCTCCAGGGCTCCCAAGGGGCTCCCAAGAGGGCCCAAAGAGCACCCCAATAAGCTCCAAGAGGGCTCCAAGAGGCACCCGAAAGGCCCTCAAGAGGCCCCCGAGCGGCCTCAGAGAGCCCAAGATGATGTCCAAAATGGCTCAGATAGCCCAAGCTGGCTCAAGATGGCTCCCAAGGTGCCCCAAGCTGCCCCAAGACCGCTCCGAGACGGCTCGAGATGGCCACGGAGCCTCCCAAGCCTCCCTCGCTGTTTGATGTTGCGTGTCTCTTCCTCTCTCCCCCCGTCAACTCTCATGGGCATATTTTCTGGTTAGGCTGGTGGGGATATTCTTGTTTTGTTCGCGAGCGCAAACGGAAGGGCCGCGCGCCGTCCAAAGCTACGGCTAGTGGGATATTCGAAGCGTCAAGAAGTTGTTTCTCTTCTCGATACAGCCAACCCCTAGTGTAGACTCCTTCTCTCGACTCATGTTAAGGGGACGGCAGCTATAACTATGGACTACACATATACACCCCAACCAGGCCCATCCTGGGCTCAAGGCCAGAAAATGCGTCCTCAGGGCTTGGCCGGGGAGGCATTTACACCGATCCTGGGCTCAGGATGGGCCTGACTAGGGTCGGTGTATATGTATCCTTCTCGTCGCCCGACCTTCCTAAGGGGTCGGTGAACCAGGGCTTTAATTTGCCCCCGACGACGACGGCGGCGGCAACGATCAAATTTCGCTCACAATCAATCCGTGGACCACTTCGGGTGGTCCATCCTGGCCAGATCTTCCTCCCCGGTCAGATCCACACGGCCCCAGGGTCCGAAGCGGGCCAGGGAGGCCGAAAGAGGCGAACATATTTCGATCCTCGCGCCCGTTTGCCTCGATGACGACGACGACGGCGACGACGACGACGACGACGACAACGGCGACGGCGACGGCGACGGCGACGACAACAACGAGGACGACGGGGACGACGACCACGACCACGACGACGACGACGACGATGACGACGACGACGACGACGAGCACCGCGGCGTCGGTCAGCGGAGCCGGCGCCCGGCCCAGCCCGCACGGCGCGCCGTCGGCTGCGACATGGGCGAGGCCCGACCCGGTCGAACAGCTCCTGGGGCTCTGCTGGGCAGGATGGGTATGTAAGACAAGTCTTCGGCCCTCCCGATGTGGAAGAGGAGAGGGAGGAAGAGGAAGGGGGAAAGGAGGAGGGAGGCGGAGGAGGAAGAGGGAGGAGGAGGAGGAAGGAAGAGGCAGGGGCAAGAGGAGGGGGAAGGAGGGGGGGAGGATATGGAAGGAGGGGAAGGAGGGAAAGGAGGAGGAGGAGGAGGAGGAGGAGGGAGAGGAGGAGGAGACGGAGAAAGACGAAAGAGAGGGAGGAGGAGGCTTTCGCAGGTATCCCACAAATCTCTGGAACACAGCTGGAGGCTCGGCGGAGGATGATGATGGAGGAGGAGGAGGAGGAGGAAGAGGAGGAGGAGGAGGAGGAATAGTTCAGAATTTAATGCTTGAAAGCGTTCGGTAGTCTCTAGGTTCGAGGCGCGAAGCTTGGGGCCGCTATTGGTCGACATCTTGCGCATCTGGGGGTTCCTCGTCCTGACGGCTGGATGATTTCGACAATTCTGAACAGAACACACAAAACAATATTTCAGGGCTCGGGACCGGTGTTTTCTGCTCCTCCTTCTTCGGCGTTTCCTTTCCTGCCCGTCCTCCTCCTCTCCTCCTCCTCCTCCTCCTCCTCCTCCTCCTCCTCCTCCTCCTCCTCCTCCTCCGTCCTTCTTTTCCTCCTGTTCCTCCTTCTTCTCTCTCCCCTTCTCTCTCTTTCTCTTTTCACTTTTTCTGGACCCTCCCTTGCGGGGCACGATCGATACTTGTGGAGGTCGCCGTTGTCGCCGTGGGATGGCTTTCGGGCGCTTGACGTTCGAGCCCCTATGTGTTTCACAAGTCTCGGCGTCCAGAAGCCCGTGTCGGACCTGGGGCCGTCAAAAACCGATCCAGGGTGAACAACTGGCCAAGGTGGACATGGCCCCGTTCCAGCGAAGGGAAACAAACCGAGCGGAGTTGCATCGTCCACGTCGGATTCGTCTGGGATTCCTCCTCCTCCTCCTCCTCCTCCTCCTCATCCTCCTCATCCTCCTCCTCCTCCTCTTCCTCCTCCTCCTCCTCCTCCTCTTCCTCATCCTCTCTCGCCTACTCCTCCTCGTCCTCCTCGTCCTCCTCCTCCCTCCTTTCCCTCCTCGTCATCCTTCTCCTTGTCCCCTCATCCTCTTTTCCTCTTCCTTCGGGAATCCACCGCGAGCCCCTCGAATCAGGCACGGCGAGCGAAGCGAAATGAATCAACGAGTCTCCCCCGACTCGCCGGGCCAGGACTTATATCCTGGCGGGAGATGTCCCGCGGCCAGGCTCCTGATTACTCGAGCCCCCGCCTCGCCCCGAGTCTTGGGCTCGCAGGGCCCGGTCAGCTTCCGCACTTCGACGGGGCCCTTTCACCCTCGAGAACGGACCCCGCAACTTCCACAAACTTCACGCCAAAACACACCCCTCGTGAGATTAAGACGGTAAGACGGGCGCAGAGACTCGGGCCCTCCAGAGCCCCCCCCCCCCCCCCCCCAGCCACTCCACCTCCCGCCCCCTCTCGGCCCTCGCCCCGCGCTCCTAACAGCGCCGCCGGAACGGAGCATGGGCGGTCCTGCGGCGAGCCTCCTCCGCCGCCGCCTCCGCCCCCCTCCGCTCCTTCTGCTAGGCCACCCTGGCGGCGCGGGAAGACGGCCCGTGCAGCGCGCGCTCCTGGGTGGCGATGCTGCGGGGCACGGCCAGCAAGTGCTCCTGAACCTGATGGGCGAGGCGGTCGGCCTCGAGCAAGCGGCCGATGGGGCCCGCGGGGGCCTGACACTGGCGCGCACTCTCTTCCGCCCCAGCGTCCGCCGCCCCATTGGCAAGCCAGAAGGTCCCACCAACATCCTCGGGCCTGGAGTGAGACTTTACTTTGACCACCCTGACATTGCGGCCTGCTGCCAAACGACAGAACTCTTTCCAGGCGGAGCGGTTGACCGTGTGGCGATGACCTGGGCCCTTCCAAAAAGCCTTGGCCACGCACGCACTATCGACGGCCAGGTCAACATTACCGTTGGTGTTCTTGAGCACCTCTAAAGCCCCCCACAGTTCTGCGCACGGCACTGTCTGCTTAGAACCAGGGAGGTATAACCAATCTGCGTCCCCAATCCGTAGGCGTGTGAGGGCACCACGCAGCTCGAAGAGCTGCGGCGACCGTTGTGCGGCGGTCCCCACTTATGATACGCAACGCATGCAATTACGTAAGTATGCAATGTAATCCCACATTTATGTAGACAGTGTAACTGGAGAATAGAAGACACCCGCCCAAAGAAGAACTGAAGTACAACATAAACCAATTGATGACACATGTGATCCAAATAATAAACATTCAGAACGGTTATAAACCATGGTCGGGGGAATTGGGTGCCTGTGGTTTCTTGTGTCGGTGGTCCAGCGCACGCTGCCGCATGCTTGCCATAGCCAAAACCATTTTTGTCCAAGTGGTCGTGGTCCCCCTGGTGAGGTCCCCTGTCGGCCAGCCCAGTCGGCGGGTGAGGTCAGCCGTTGGTGCCGCGATACCCTGCCGGAGGTCGGCGTTGGCTGTGCACGCCCAGTCCATGTGGTCGAGCGTCGGGACGTGCTGCTCGCCGCAGTGGTCGCAGGTGGTCGAGACCTCCTCGCCTTGGTTGGACTGCAGCAGGGCGTCCGAGACCACGCAGCCGCAGAGGACGGCGGCGATGTGCGAGGCGAGGATTGGGTTAGCTTTCCGTGTTTCCTGTGCCGCGCGCACAAGCTGCCCCAGGCCACAAGCTGGAAATCTCTGATCACACTGAATCCCCAGGCGCAGCGGCGAAGACGCGGCTCAAACGAGCACTTGCCCCCCGACCCGCCCGACCCCGCCACGCCCCCCGCCGCTAACTGCAGCGGGCCTTCCTGCAGGGAGGTCGAGAACACGGGAGCGACCTCAGTCATGGCATCTGCGATCGCCTGGGTCCAAAGCGCGGGGGGAAGCCCGCGGGGCCAGAACATCGGGGCCTCCAAAACTTCCTCTCGAGCCTGCTCGAGCAGCTCAGGATGGGCCACAGGGATATCAGCATTTTTGGGGCACTCCCACATCTCATCCTCGTTTCCTCCTCCTCCTCCTCCTCTTCCTCCTCCTCCTCCTTTTTCACCCTCATCCTCCTTGGAGCTTAAAAGTGTTGGCTCGAGGGACAATCTGACGCAGCCATAGCCCCCCCTCGGTCGACCCTGGGGGGGGGGGGGTCGAACTAGGCGCCGCAGACCCCAACCAGGGGCGGGGTAGCGAGGCCCCCCTGCACCCTGGGGGGGAGGGAGGTGGAGAGAGGGTGAGGAGGCATCAGAAGGAAAGGAAAGGAATTAGAAGGCACCAGAATCACACTACAACCGCAAGGAAAGGAGGAGCGGGGTGACTGACGAGCCGCAGCGGTTGTTAGTTGTGAAACGGTCGCACGGAGGTGCGAGGCGCGAGGCGAACGGCGGCGGCCGCTGCGGTGGCGAGAGTGGCGGAGAGGTGAGCGGCGTGGCCAGGGCCACATTCGCCCAAGTCAGGACAACGGCAGGGCCTCCCCCCTCACCCACGTGGGGATCCCACGGGGGCGCCCCCCAGTCGAAGACAGGGGGCCCTCGCCCGCCGAGACAGGCGCAGGGCTGGGAGCCACCCAGGGGTCCCCAACGGGTAGGGGGAGGTTGGCGCCGTCCTGCGGCGGCGGCCCCGAGGGAAGTGCGCAGTCCCCCACCCACGGCTTCCACCCGCCCTCCTCCCGCGCGCAACGCGGCTGCGCGGGGCTCTGGGGACGGCATGCGTTGCTGCTGGCTGCACAAAAGGTGGGCGGCAGTGAGGGGCCTTTGAGCTTGGAGCAGACCGCGGTGAACAAGACGTGGGGAAAAGGTGGGCGAGCACAGCTGGGGCCGCACGGATGGCTTGAGGGCCTCTTCCCTCGCCGCTAGGGGGCCCTTAGCGGGGCGACCCCAACTCGAAGCCAGGGAACCCTCGCCTGCCGACGCAGGCGAAGGGTTGCCAGGGGCGGGGGGTCCACCCAGGGATCCCCACCGGGCGGGTTTGCGCCATCCTGCGGCGGCGACCCCATGGTAGCAGCGTAGATGTCCTCAATCCCCTAAGCATCCCCCCCAAGTGCAAGTGGCGTGAGTAGAGGCTGGCGGTAGGCTGATAGCCACCGCCGTGGCCAACAGATGCGACCAAAAGGTGTTGCTATGCATGTGGGGCAGGGGCCTGCGGACGCTGAGCAGCGCGCTGCCGCTGCTCTGGCCTCAGCCACGGCCGAGTTTGACGCTGCTTGCTGCGGTGGCCCTTCCCACCGCCAGGGCGGCCAGCGTCATGCTGGCGCCTGCTGGGCAAAGCTGGGTAGACATGGCGTGGCGACTGCGTGGAGGTTGGCTGGGACGGATCACGGCCAATGCTGCACCTAGGATGCGCGGCAATATCTGCGCGAGGCGGTGAAGCCAGTGAGGGTTCTGACGCAAAGTCTGCGCGTCGCGGCCGCCCTTGCCATTGCCGGAACAGCCCGAGGCGAGGCCCCTTGCCCCTGCCCCCCCGAAATGTAAATCCCCCGCGCCCGCCCCGCCGCCGCTCGACTGGGAGGGGGCAGGCTAGGTGGGCAAACGGCGGAGGGGGCGGGGCATCAGGGTGGAAGCAGACCCAGAAAGAAGCGAAGGTTGGGCGAGGGCCCCCTCAAGATCAGGCGCACAGTTGGCTCTTCGCGCCGTCGCCTCCGAGGCCCCTGCACTGAGCCGGCGATGAAGGCCACCGCCAAGGAGGCGCATGAGAGAGCTCTACCCGCCGGTCTTGGAAATGGGAAATGTGGCGCTCCACCCACGCGGCCGCGCATGGGGGGTTTATGCAATGCGTCGGGTGACCAGCACGCGCGGGTGAGAAAGCTGCGGCGAGTTCGGGGCCCTGTCTAACAGTTGACCCTGTGCACAGCAGAGCCCGCTGTAGCTGAAGCCACCGTAGGCGCAGGTGGCGAGTCGGATAAACTGCGGATGAGAAAGCCGCGGCAAAGTTTTAAGTCCTATGTTACC